GGGCGGGGGGGGGGGGGGGGGCAAAAAGCCGCTTGTGAGCGGAGAAAGTAGGCCCAGGCTTCCGGCGCTGTTCCTTCTCGCGCGCCTGGGGAAGGAAGGTACTCTTACCCCCCCGTCAGATCCTTAATGATCTCATCCAAGGTGGAACCAAACAGACGGTCTCCAGTGAAGGACAACTCCTGTAGAGCCTTCTTAGAAGCCTGATCCGCCGACCAGCACTTAAGCCAGAGCAAACGGCGAAGCGTCACCGCTGACACCGACACCTTAGACACCAAGGGCGCCGCATCCAAGGCCGAATTGCAGACATAACGAAAGCCCTGCACCAACTGGTCCGCTAATTCCACGAAAGCGGGGGAGACGTTCTCCTCCGCAAGACCCTGATGTAACATCTTAGCCCACTCAGAGTCTGAGAGACCAAAGCCGAAGCCAAGACCGGGCGCATGAGAGCGCCCGAGACAGAGTACAGAGACCGCAAAAGTGCCTCAGCCTTCCTATCGGAAGGATCCTTAAAGGATGGAGAATCCTCCACCGGAATAACCGTGGCTTTGTTCAAACGAGAGACCGGCGGGTCCACCACCGGCGGAGAAGACCATTTAGACACAAAGGCCTCCTCGAAGGGGTAGCGAACCGAGAACGGCTTAGGAACCACAGAGGACTTAGTAGGCCGTTTCCACCCCTCATAAATGAAATCAGCAAACAAAGGGGATGTAAGGAAACACCTTGGCAGAACGCCGACACATATGCGTCCCAAACTGCACGTGCGGCAGCGAGGAAGTGCTGGCAACGTCCTCAATTTCACGGGTCTCGATGACAGCGCGGACTAGCGCCAAGACCATTTCACGTTCCTGGACCAGGAGCGTAGACGCAGCCTCATCCTCACTGGTCAGATGAGGATGTGAGGAATCACCCGGATCAGGATGAGGCGACGTCGTGGGGAGTTCTCCCTCCTCATCGGACTCCCCTGACAAGGCAGGGGATGGCAAGGGCAGAACCCGCTTCCTAGGTGGGCGCTGCGTCAAGGCGCGCCCCATGCGCGTCACAAACCCATCCATGTTACAGGACGCACAAAGAGGGGGTCTAGAGGGGTCCGCAGAGCGCAGCCCACAACCCTCACAAGGCAATGCAGGAGAGTCATCCTCTGCGATCCGCAGAAAAAGACACCCCACTCACCGGAGACCACCAGGCAAGGGATCCCTAGGCTGTCTTGTCTTTTAGTTATGTGCCTAGCGTCCTACTTCTGCAGGTGGCGATATACCCTACCATTCAGGATCTACGATCTGTTGCCCTGTGTCCTTCAATGAACGGGAGAGAAAAAAGGGTTAGGCTAGGTTCACACGTAGGCGACACCTCATTGCGCGGCATTCTTGCACGATTCCGCGTGGTGTGAATTGATTGCGCAGTGGGTGCCATTATTTTCTAAGGGCGTGCCAGACGGATCGCACGGTTTCCCGCCATGATTCCGCCCGTGCTTCCGAACACGATCGCATCTAAAACAGGCACACGTCTTGTTACATAGTTAGGCAAGTTGGAAAAAAAAGACACAAGTCCACCGAGTTTAACCTATAGAGATAGGGAGAAAAAAAAGCCTAAATAGAACGCTATGCCCACAGCTACCCCTGTTGATCCAGAGGAAGGCAAAAAAAACAAAAAACAAACCCATATAAAGCATGGTTCAATTTGCTCCAACAGGAGAAAGAAAATTCCTTCCTGATCCCATAAGGCAATCGGATATTCCCTGGATCAACAATCTCTGATGCTTAACCAGTTGACATCCGCGGTGTTAGCCCCCCTTCCTGGCCAGTCCATTTTTCATTATTCAGCGCTGCAGTCCTTTGACTGACATTTATTCCGACATGCAACACTGTACTGAAATTAATTTTATACCATTTTTTGGGGACAGATAGAGCTTTATTTTGGTGGTATTTAAATCAGCACTGGGGAGGGGGGTTATTTTTTACTATATTAAAAGGAAAATTTACAGAAAATTAAAAAGAAGAAAAAAAAAATAAAGGGGGGGGGGGGTTTACTTTTTTTATTTGCGACTTTTATTATTTTTTTACACTTAGTTATTGCTATTACATAGGGGGATACTCCCTATATATTAGCAAAGGCACACTGGCAGGTCCTCTTTATGGAGACATTAGGGATCTCCTAATGTCACCTGGGGAACCCAAAAGAAGCTGATGAAGCAAAGATCTGCTCCATCAGCTTCTTCTCTCTGGCTATAGCAGCCAGATGACTGACAGGTGAAATGTGGAAGTGATCAGGAGGTTAATATACCTATAAGAACTCAATATCCAGTAATATTCTGTGCATTTAGGAATACATCCAGATGTTTTTTAAAACCATTAACCGAGCTAGCTAGAACTAGCTCCTGGGGGAGTCTATTCCACATTTTCACAGCTCTAACTGTGAAGAATCCTTTCCGTATTGCAAAAAAAAAGGTACATGTATCTTTTGTCTGCAACTTCTGCGCGGATGTCACTCCATTGAAATCAATGGGGCCGTGTGGCAATCGCTGCCTGCATTGTACAGGACCGCGCAATCCCGGGACACGAGTCCCGGGTGTCGTGCGGTGTAGTGCAGGTGTGAACCTAGCCTTAAAGATCAAGACTTGGATGGTAATGTGTCTCAGGCTTGTCTTTCCAGTCTGTACCTTATCTCCACACTGCCATCTTTTCAAAGCAATAGAAGCTGCCCATACAGTCCTACGCATAATTCTGATCCAAGAAACAAGGTAAGAAATAGGTTTTTAAAATGATGTGTAGGTATCTTGTGTGGAAAGGAACAAACAAGGGGGGGGGGGGTCTCAAATGTGACTGCAAAAGGTGGAGATAGATTTTAGGAACACGTCACACAACTACATATGAGCAAAAACAAGTAAGTGGATTATTAAATGTGTCCGATTATCACAAAATCACACCTTTGATACCAGGAAGTCGGCAGCTTTCTCTGATCCTTCCGTGTATTCACCTTGACTTTCATATCGAATTAACCAATTATCATTGCCTCGGTCTAAAAAATAAAAACAACCTTATGAATGGTAATAAGATCCCATTGGAATGGTAATTAGAAGTATTAGCTAGCACAACAAAACCCTCAGCACTACTGTAAAAGAAACATGCCTTGCAGTGTACAATAGATCCACACTTCAATATTTAAAGAAGAACTCCAGGAAGAACTATTTCTATCCAAACTGTTTTTTTTTTTTTACATAACTACATCTGTACTGTCAAACAATTCACTGTTTTTGGGTCCCCGTGACTCCAATGGTGTTACACACAGCACAATTCAAAGGTTGAACATTGTGTTTTCTGCAGATCATTGCTCCAGTTCATGAAACCCCAGACCAGGGGTAGGAAAACTCTAGTCCTCCAGCTGTGGTGCAACTACAAATCCCATTAGGCATTGCAAGACTCCAGACCAGAGGCTGATGCATCATGGGATTTGTAGTTGCACCACAGCTGGAGGGCCAGAGCTCCTCCAGACTATCCTTCCTTGGGCTCCACTGTCAGAAGAATCATTAGTCACACATTATAAATAATTGGGAGTTCTTTTTTAAAAGTTAGAGATATTAAATGAGGAAAAAAGAACCCACGCAGAAGAACAAATGCTGCAGTTAAATCAGACCACTTGGCCAGGTTACTTTGGCTCATCACACCACAGCAAATTTCTAAGAAGAGATGGTGAGAAATGTAACAGTCACTTCCATGATCACACACTGCTGGTACCTGCCACAGCTTTTCTTCCAGTCCTGGCCAATGTTTAGGTGCCGCAAACACACAATGAAGAAATGAAGACAAAAAGTTGCTGAAACAATCCCTGACATTTTCTAACTTACTGAAAATTAATTATGTCCACTGCTTTTTTTCCCCCAGTAGAGTACATGACAAAAAAATACATCCAATTTTCCCTCACAGCACTCTTTGCAAATTGGCACTTTTTGGTTTATTTTATTTTTTTAAATATCCACAGCACAGGCTCAAGAAGGAAAATTATAAATAAAACAGCTGAAATGGTGAAAGTGACACTAAACTCAGGAGTTAAATCCTAAAAATACATTCAAACTATTAACAAAAATGTATCTTATTTGTGTATCACTCGGCTGTAGATCCTCAAATCATCTCTGAATTGGTGCTGACACTGTCCTTCCTTCTGGAGGATGGCTACTTTTGTTCTCCATGGTCCCTGTGTGTTGTAATGTAGCCACCACTCCAAGCTCGCTCCCGTGATCGACTACAATATCAATACAAATTAGTAAACTAAACATGAGATTGTAGCCCATCCCAGGGCAGAGCTTGGAGCGGTGGCTGCTTTACAACACACACACAGGGACCATGGAGAACAAAAGTAGCCATCCTCCAGAAGGAAGGACAGTGTCAGCACCAATTCAGAGATGAAATTCCAAAAATGTCCATTTGGACTAAACGGCACACATATTGCATAATCCAACGTTTCAGGACCACGCAGGGTCACATCTCTGCCCTGATGAAGGGACCCTGCGTGGTCCCAAAACGTTGGATTATACGATGTGCGACGTTTAGTCCAAATAAATGAAAATTTTTTACATTTTCATTTGCGGAGTGCTGGTGATTTCTATCCTTCATTGACTGTTGTGCACGGTGCCATCCGTGATTGTCACTGCAAGCAACACTATTGCTACTTGGACCGGAAGCGCTGTAAGGAGTGCAGGTGGGCCTATTGTTTTCTGACATTAACCATTTTTTCTCCCCCTGGGGTTAACCCATGGCCCTAAAACATGAACACGAGCGTTTTTTGATAACAGAAAATGTGAATTGCCAAGCATACTTTTATTAGCTGGGATTAATAAGTTATGTATTTTAATAGATTTTACTTTTTTTTTATATTTTAGTAGCATCATCTGCATCTATTTTTTCAACTCCTTTATTAGAAGATGCTTTGCTTTCTTTGAATGGCAAAATATTTTTTTATTCTTACCAATGCTCACGTAATCTTTATAATGGTACAACTGACTTGTACACTATAAACCAGCCGTTCTCAACCAGGGTTTTCCACTAAAGGGGAATACTCTATATCATCATCTTTTTTTTTTCTTTTAAACTAACACCAGTTTATCACAGTATAATTATTAAGAAATGGAATCTGACCCCCAATTTGCCATCAGTATATATATTATATATATATATATTTTTTTTAAATTTAAAAAAAAACATTAACCCTTGTGCTGCCAGAACTGGTTTTCCCAACGTTTTTTGCACACATGTGAAAATGCACGTTAGGCCTAAAGATTAATTAAATCCCTCAGAATTATTTATTCAGAGAGTAAACAAATATACTCCTGTGACCCAAAACAGGACTAAAAGAAAATAAAGGGCTTGGCTTTAGTTCTTTTGCAAGCCTTTCATAACACACCATGTTATGCTACATAAATAGGAATCTGGGAATCTGTTTAGGCCAATGTTATTTTAATGCATGAATAGCAATTTCTGCCAATAAAAAAAGTATAATTTTCTTATGTACCGGGGAAACAATACATATTCTTCCTGTAAAACTACAAAAGGCAGGTATAGCAATGAACAATACTCACCAGTATTTCGAATGACATAGTCTAAAATGACAAGTCTCTCGAACTGAGACTGCAGCTGCTTTCTAGTATTCTCAGGCAGAGGTTCCGTTTCAAATCTCCTGAGCCAGTAATCTGCTTCTTTATATCCATCCACAAAGAGCTGGAAAGAACCAACCTGAAAACAAATAGCACAACACTGAGAACGTTCCCCAGTACCCAGTGGTCTTCCATTCCACAGCCGTATCGATCTTACACCATAAAACACAAATATGATGTAAAACTATGCCATGCTTTCCTTTCGGGCTATTTAAAGAATGATTATGCTCTATTTTTTATAGTTTATCATGACACAGCTGTACAGATCTCCAATATACAATCATGTAAAATAGTGAGGAGTACACACCATGTAAATTGTGCCTGCAGATAATTATTGACGTAGATCACCTGACACAAAACTAACACGTAGTATTTATTTTCATGATCTATATTTTCCATCACTTCAAATCCATGAAAACAGGTTCCGTGTTCCAGACTATAGGCACCAATGATTAGAACCTACTTGGGGAGTATACAGGTGGAAGCAGTCTTTTTTTAAAGCTCAGACATTTAAAAGTGCATTTCCCCTTTCACAGCCAAATTGGGATAACACTTATTGTATATGTGTTACACGTTCCCATTCACATAGCCTAAGCCCAAAAAATAAAACAAATTTTAAAAAATGCTTCTTACAGTTTAAATTGCTTTTACTTGGGTAAGGGTTTCTTGGCTTCTTAAGGATTACAATGTATTCCTGTTTCCCCTTTCTTTTATAATGTTCCGAGGGGTAGTGAGGGGCTTCTCTATTGTTAGTTATTAAGTTAGCCAAAGAAACACAACCCTCAAATTTTAATCCTAGGTCTTTCCAGGAGGACAGATCACTGTGAAGGTGCTAGGGAAAAACTTGAAATCAGCTATGTTGCCTACGGCAACAAAACATCTAAAAAAGGTAATAAAATATATATTTAAAAAAATTATTTTTCATCATGTTGTGTGAATAGATACACACACCAAACCTATAGAGGGGTTTTCTCAAATTTGACTTGAAAAGTGGCAAGTGGGAAGGCTAACGAGTTAGCCTGTATTTGTGGGAGGGGTTTGCGCCCCCTCATCACCTTAAAAGAGGGCCGGCCGAGACAAGGAGGGTGTGCGGTGGTCGGCAGAAGGGACGTTCTCGAGCGATACGTCACTTCCGGTTCACAGTTCGTGTCACTTCCGGGTCATCGGACCAGCATCAGGTATTGCGGGCGGTTGCTGGCGGTAGCGCCGCTGCCTCGGCGCTCTCCCCTCTAACCACGATGTTAAACATCTTTATGCAGAAAGCAGCAGCGGCGGTGCTGACAGGGGACTCGCTCGGTGAAGGGCTCAGCTGATACGGGACGGCAGCAGGTACCATCTGGGGGAGGATTGCAGGAGAGGGGAGGGGGGGATGGATAGCACACATGGTTGCCGTGCAGGTACAAGTCAGAGGTCGTGTAGTAGGGCAGAAGGGTCCAATTTAGGGTTGTCATGGTAGTAGGTGGATGCCCTGTGTCATGCAGTTGGTTCTGGATTAGATGCTCATCACCTTTAGGCGGCTGAGCTCATCAACAATTCTCTGTCCAGCAACACAGACCGAGCGTACAAGGTAGCATGGAAGACGTTTGGTTTGTTCCGGGCGAAACACGTCACTGCAGAGCCCAGTAGCATCAAGTATATTTTGGCGTTTGTTGCGTTTTGCCATACCGATCTCAAACTGGCCTATAGTACTATTCGGCTGTATTTAGCCGGGGTCCAACATTACTTGGGTTTGTTATATCCGGACAAACCATCATTATTTTCAGCGCATCCAGTACGGGCGATCGTGAAGGGCATCCAGAAAGCGGGTGGTCGGGCCCGTCACACCAGACTGCCCATTACCAGTCCCATGTTGAGGGGTATGTCAGGAATGTTGGACAAAACTCCTTTTGGAGGTCTACAAAGCTTGGTCTTGAAGGCATCCATTTACCTAGCGTTTTACGGGTTTCTTAGGCCAGGTGAGGTAACCTGTGCCAGCAGCAAATCCTCTCCTTTACGGAGGAAACATTTGAGGCGTTTTCCCGATCGGTACGTTTTATATCTGGACAGGTGTAAGACCAACCAGGTCGGGGCCCCCACAGAAGTCACGTTTTTCCCTTCCGGCAACGCATGGTGCCCGGTGGCAGTGTTGGATAGCCTTATGGCCACGCTGTTCCGAGGTTCGTCGGAGAGTCCATTGCTTCCATTTCCGGTGGCACCGCTGACTACCAAGCAGTTTATCAGCTATGTGCGCTTGCTTTTAGGGCATTTAGGGGTAGATCCTCGGCTGTATTCAGGGCATTCTTTCCGCATAGGGGCAGCCGCAGCCGCCTCCAGGCATGGCGTCCCGGCTCACGTTATTAGACATCTAGGCAGGTGGACTTCGTCCTGTTTCAGCAGATACATACCTAGTCCGCAGGTAGAAATGGCCGCTGCCTTTTCAGAACTTGCCACCTGATGTAGTCACGAATAAAGTTATACATTAAACTCTAAACTGGTTGTGTTTGCCCCCTTATTTGGTATTACTGTCCACCCGGACCATGGCACACTCCAGGTCAGTATCTTAATTCAGCATGTTAGAGTGTGGGTGTTGTCGCGATGTATGCTATGTAGCTGACACAGGTAAGCAAACGCCTATAACAAACACTTTTTAATGGTCTGATGTTCAAATTTCTATTGACGTGTGTGGTGTCATCACGTCAAGATAAAATGGAGCTCTACAAGGCCCTCAGAAAGAAAATGGTGGATGACCATGTAGAGGAATACATTTTGACCCCAACAGGATAAAATAGAAGTTGTTAAAAATCTGGCTTTGAAAAGATCACCAAAGAATTTGAAATCAATCATTCCGCTGCGAGATAAAATATCTACAAGTGAACTAGATTTCAAATACCTGCTAATTTGTCGAAGATTGGCCGGCCTGCAAATTCAACTCAAGAGCTGACCGTTTGATGGTAAAAGAAATATCCAACTTGTTGGTGAACATCTTTGAACAGTTGGGGTCAAAGTGCATCTACAATCAGAGATTGCACAAATTCAGCCTTCATGAAAGGAGTGTTACGAAAAACCCTTTGCTGTCCAATATGAACATTAGAGCAAGAGAACAGTTTGTAAATATAGGTAAAGACCGGGCCTTCTGGAACAATCAGTGGAATTCAATATTGCGTTTGTGCCAGAATTCTGAAGCTAATGCAGCCTAAGAAATGTCTACAGCAGATTCTGTTTTGTATAGATGCATTGCCTGCTATCTTACAGCTTCTGGAACCCGTAGTCAATATGGTGCTCGCAGTGATGAGCACGGATGGTGCCGTGTATCTTCACGTTCAGAGTAATGGAGAATCACCAGCACTCAGAGATTATCATTTAGAACTTGGTGTTCATTTATTGAAAACACGTCACATGTGACAGAAAGCCAAAAAGGTTCAGGGTCACGCAGGGTCCCTTCATCAGGACGCTGTGCTTGTGACATTCAATGAATACACTCCTACAGCTTGGTAATAAGAAAAGTGATGCAAAGTAGGACCAGGTAATTTTTGATGTAACTAGTCTGTCGCAGTATGCAACACATACTTCAGGTGACATCTGCTACACGTCTATGTATTTTGTCAGTGTGCAAGCCAGCGCCAATTTCATAGGTATGCCACAAATTCATGAAAGCTATGCAGCCTTGTATTTGAGTAGGGTGACAAAAACGACAGTATTCCTTCTGTAACCCTGATGCACTCCTTTTGAATTCCTCAAACTGTACATTCTGCATCATATCAAAGTGTGTTTAATGCAAGTGTCAAAACTGGAAATACGTTTTTCAAAACAATAACCCAAAATCACACCATCAAATCCACCAAGGAATGGCTCAAGAAGAAAAATACAAATAGAGGCTTGTGGACTGCCCTAGTAAAAGCCCAAATTTTAATCCCACGGAAGTGCTGTTGGGGGATTTTGAGATGGGCAGTTAATGCAAAGAAACCCACAGACATCTTGCAACTGAAGGAATTTTGCATGGAGACGTCGTCATTTATTTCAGTGAGTCAATGTCAGTCTGGTGGCCAGTTATACAAAATGCCTACAAGAAGTCATTTCTGCTATGGGGTGCAATACCAACTTTTGACACCAAGTGTCTACTTACGTTTCCCACGATGCACCATTACACCTATTAATATTTATGTTGATTAAATAAATAAAAAGGCAACATGTTCTTGTGTTCTTATTTATTTACATCCCCATTATATATTGGCAGTTTGAATAAAGATCTCATGTCTGCTTGTTTAAATATGTTGAAAAAGTCAACAATTTCCACTGGTGTGTACTTAAACTTTCACATGAAGGCGACATTAAAAGTTTTGTATAGTTAGGAGAAATGCCAACACGCAAAACCAGTTGATCCCCCAAAGCAGCACTATGTGTTGTTTTTAATCTGCTTTAAGAACATTGCGAGTCAGTAAGCAAATCGATCTGAATCCAGGCAAATCATGGAAAAGCTTATTTTTAGATCCTCCTGAACATATCATGAAGAACATGACTCCAGATCGCCGACGTTAAAGCAGAAGTTAAAGATTAACGCCACTTATGTTGAGGAAAAAAAAAACCTCAATCCCCTCTTGGTGAACTATGTACATTGCAAAGATTTCACCAAACTTTGTTGTAGATTCCTAGCCATTTCTTTCCTGAAGAAGCAGAAGTGTTTTAGCATGTCCTTTGCAAACAGATTCCTGAATGGGAGGGCCTGGGCTTGTTCTAATCAGCTGGTGGACCTTGTGCTGTTATGAGAAATGTTGCTGTGTTGGCATCCCTTTGGAAGTAATGAACCCTTCCTTAGGGTTCATTGCTTCTAAAGTGATGCCAGGATGAAGAATCTCACCATAAAGGAATTCCCAATTGCCTGAAATGTTACTTGCATCAGTGCAGACTTCTGGAAAATCAGTCAGCCAATCACAGAAGCAGGAAGTGACACCAGAACGCCTCTAGGTCGCAATACTGCATTGAATTTTTTCCCCCACAGTTTTAGAAATTACAGCGGTTGCAGTTTTAAATGGAAAGGTCACTTAAGAACATTAACCCTATCGTGACCAGTGACGTATATAGCACGTCATTGGCAGCGGGCCCCCAGGACTCTGTTTACAATTGTAAAGCCGGCTGTCGGCTTTACAATAGAAGTGATGCTGGTGGCTCAGCTGCCGCCAGAACGCTTCTATGGGCCACTAAAGTGCCCACCCGCTCCTCCCGCTGTGTTTCCTGGGCTTCGTTGCTCCTCCTGCGGGTCCGGGACCGGCATGCCAGGTGCCAACGGGAAGGAGAGCAGCAAACTTCTGTTCACTGAATTCCTCCCCGTTCTATGGCACCATCACTTCCGGTCCCATAGCAGTCATTGCTGGGCTCCTGAAACCCAGCAATAAGCTACTGAAGTGCAATCTGCACTTCAATAGCTTACGTGGAAAGGTGATACAAGGGGTCTTTTGGACCCGCAGTATCAACTTAAAGAGGACCCGTCACCACCAATATCCTATTACATGAGGGACTTGTAAGTAGGAATGCCCAGAGCAAACTATGAATGTGGACACCTGACTCAATTTTAATACTTACACTTGCTGTGTACATTAGCGAAAATGTAGAATGCAGGCAATTTTACCACAGAAAGGGCAGGCATTTGGTTGATCAGGTTATGTGATCAGAAAAAAACAGATGCTTAGTGGTATTCTTGTATAACCTGTATGTAAGAACTTTACTTATGCTTCTAAGACTGTTTATAACAGCATCAGCTACCCTGTGGCAGCCTTGACAAACAATTGCAGTGTAAGCCACTTTCAGACTTCAAAAATGATTAAATAAAATACAATGCATATGTCAAACCCACAGATGTCTTTTTGGTGAAATAATATGTGGGAACAAAGGGCCAGCAACATTTCCAAACCAGAAGAACATTAAAAAAGATAAAACATTTTAAAAAAATGAATTACCTTGGGAGGTAAACCTATCCGGTGAAATTTTCGACCTACTGTTGGTACTTTTTCTAAGGCATATTTCTTGCCTCTTGACTTTGCACGGTCTATTGCACTGTAGTTGAAAGTTTCACTGACAAGCAACACTACCTTAGAAGGGAAAAAAAAAAAAAAAAACACATCTTGGTAACAACATTTCACATGGTTATAATGCCCATTGCCATTTGTACTAGTAAAATGTATGAAGAAAACTCTTAAGACAAATTAATATTTTATAGCATTATTTAAAGAAAACTTGTAGTTTAGGAAGCATTAATGTAGCATACACCTAAACAGTCTCAAGAGAGTGTACCTTCAATGCTTATGTAAACCTCATATGTAAAAATTCCACTGCGGTTCCTGAAATGACTATGCCATGAGGCATTGCAAGACTAAGGTCTCGTTCACACCTAGGCGTATTGCATATGCGCGACCGTAGAACACGCTACAAAACGTTCAGGTGTGAACGAGGGCTAACAGCCACAGGCATGACAAGCACAGGCTGTGGCATCATGGGATCCATTTTACCACAGCTGGAGTGCGGAGGTTGCCTACCCCAGCACTATGCCTTCTGAGGTATGGGAAGAGAACGCACACTCTTCTTTGCATAATTGCAAATAATGTAACCATGAACTGCAGTACACCTTTGTGTCCTAACTCCAGATCTCAGCTGACCAAAGCTGGCCAGGTATTACAACCTTTACTCCTAACATGACTGACTAATTATATGGAATATATGCTTAAAGTCTGAAGCCCCACCCTTAAAACAATCAGCCCATTGTTTGCAGGTATAGATACTGATAACACAGCAGGAGTCCTACATATTGATCTACACTCTTGTTCTGGAGAAACAGGTCTTTAGGTCTAAGGCACCAGACATTTAGGCTTTAAAGGCTATGCACTGTTAATGTTTATTCTGATTTACTATTACATTTTTTTTTTTTCTTTACACATGGCTTATTAGGCCCAATGCACAAATAATTGAGTCATGAGCCGGGCTAGTCAGAGTAGTTCATCTCAAACTGTAACTGTAATTTTCCATATCTGCTGTCTAGTTTTAAATATAATATATATATTTTTTTTAAAAGTAGGCCATTATAGTTGGCTTGTGGCCAGCTGCCTCTTATTTACCACTCTCTGCTTGACGGGGAAAAGCAACACTTCCTTGCAATAAGAGAAAGCAAATGTTTAACTTTACAGGGTACATGTCACATATATGTAAAATGCTGGCCTACGGGCTCACAAAGAATAGCGTATCTGTGCAAGTGGCTGATCTGCTAACTAGTTAGTATAGTCATCCTCTGAATGGCACACTCCAGTCTTACACAAATACAGGCCAGTGTATATTTACATGGTTCCTGTATGGTTTTGTCTCCAAGCCCGGTGCTGTATGTTCTGGATATGTTTATCAGTGAATCGTATTGCCTTCACTTGCAGACACAAGTTTGTCTTTAAAAGCTAAAAATCTTTTTCACATCCAGAAAGAGTAATTTTTGCAACTTATATTAGTCAAATAAATAAACATCACAGATGCTAAATAGAGCTGGATTGTTACCTTTGTTTTAGGCACAACGCCTAATCCAAGTCTATCATCCACTAAATAAGCTCCAGCTTCAGACAGATATCCCTGATTTGGAACAAGGCAACCACGACCAAAGCAGCAAGGACAGCAGACTTTGTGAAAATATTTGGTCCATTTTGGATTCAGGTGACCATAAGGCTCCTCCGATTTTGGTTTGAACACACCAATTATTTTCTGTGTAAAAATAAAATATTAATTACAAGAAATTACCAATACCTTTTGCCAGATGCTTTACTGCCGATACATGTGAATCCTTTCTCAATGTTGAAGCCCAATTGAAGTTTTATATCTTGATTAGGGTTCTTTCACATGTGTGTTGAGGATTTAATGAAAGAGCAACGCTGATTAACACGGCTATAGTGTTAACAAGGCATTCGGCAGCCATTTTCCAGGAATTAAGGAGGCAAAATGCCCTGCAAGTAGGGGAATGTTAAAGGGGAAGTGATGAAAATAAGGGAAGTGACCAGCTTTGAGGTGTGCTTAGGCTGGGGTGAAATTTGCAGGCATATTGTTGGTTTTCTGTGCTGTGTACTACTGCATTAATATAGATCCAACTGTCTTGACAACAACATGGGTTCGTATACAGTGATCTACATAATCCTCTTCTTGGTCCAGCTGAAGATAATGATGATGTTGATGCTCTGTCTACTCACTCCGATTCTGCAGGGGTTTCTGGGATTGCAAAACCTCCGATGCCTCTCCTAAAACACCTGTGCAACGCTTCTTAAATGCCCCAAAAATGCTATAGGAGCACTGACCAATCACTTAAAGAGTGTTTCAACATACTTCAATTCAGGCATTTGTCCAGCGGCAATGTCTCCAGAACGCACCATGCACTCCATTTGTTGATACACAGCAACACAACGCTAACACCCATGTGTGACCTGCACTGAGCTGTTGCATTATCCCACATGAGCATTAATACCCTGTTTCCCCAAAAATAAGACCTACCCCAAAATTAAGACTTAGTACCATTTTTGGGAATTGCTAAAATATAAGACCTACCTTGAAAGACCTAGTTGTGAACATTCCCAGGGCGGGTGGTGGCATAAGGGGGATCTTGAAGGGGCGCGAGAGAGAATTGGCGTTGCCAACAAAGCCGGCGCTAGAGGAAACGGGGCGGCAGCGCAGGGAGTAGGTGGCAGAGAGGCTTTCAAAACGCTTCTCTAATATATCAGTTTAACACACGTGTGAGAGAGGCCTTACTGTGAATTCCTGTTTCTCTGCAGGTTATGATTTGTGATTAACTTTAACTTTGCTCCCAGTGAAAATGATCAACATCTACATCCACTTGCACGTGTGTGCTCACAAGGACATGTATTGAAGGAGGAGGAAGTAAGAGGGGATGGGGGCTGTTCAGACCAGTTCTGTTACTGGGGGCACCGGGCCTAACTCTGGTACCTTTTGGACCGCACAGATTCAGACATCTAGCACAACTGCTTAAACAGGAAAATGGAAGACTATGAAAATGGTGGTTCATAGTACAATTTATTTCTGACTGGATAATTTATTTGAATTACTTCAAAGTAGAACTCAGCAGAAATAAATATGTGCTGCAGCACTTAAAGTAGTATTAAACTCTCAAACTTGTTTTCAATATTGAATCCTAATCAAACCCACCAAGCACTTACAGTCATCATGTTTCTGAACAGCTCCAGCTCTCTCAGTTCTGCGTTCCTGAATTTCCTGTCCAGTACAACATCAAAAAGGAGAGTACAGTCTCCAGCAGCTATACATCCATTAGCTTGAAGAAGGGAGGAGGGAAGAAAGGGGAGCAGGGGGGACAGAGTGTCTTGCCTTGCTGTATCTGCGTGTTTGTGGAGACACACACAGCTTACTAGCACACACAAAGGTGGCTCCACAGGACAATGCAAGGGAAAGGAGCCACCCTAAAACAAGATATCAGGGCCAGTGCTGAGAAGACCAGCTGATTCAGCAGGAAGCTGACATTTTAAAAAAACTCAAGAAGCAGCATCCACTGTAAGTAATCAGCATTTGTTAAAAACCATTTTGACTTTAATATCACTTTAATTATAAGAATATCTGCATTTTTTGGGGGAGGAAATGCCTTTCACAGATTTCACAGCAATGCTCTGCTGATCCTTCCCAGGATGCCACACTTGGGCACAATTACATAATGTGTGCCAAAGTGGACTAGGAAGGAAAAAAAAAAAAAGTAAAATAAAAACATGTTTAGCTAACGAATGTAAGATGATTTCATATCAGCATGCAGAGCTGTATGCCGATATGACTTTTAGTAATGAGAGTAAAAGGTCCACTTTAACACCAGCGACTATTAGCATAATAGAATTGTGCAGATGCTTGCCCCTTCCCCGTTCATGAAGCTCATACTATTATTGTTCACCAATGCAACAACACACTCTGAATGGGCAAGGCAGATCCTCTAATTCATCCTCTCGTCCTCCATTCACAGAGCGCGTTATATTGTGAAGCAATAATAGTACAAGCTCTATGAATAGAGAAGGGAGTAGGAAGGGGCAGGGAAGCAGTGCAATGTAATTTCACAGATAGTCGCTAGTGTTAACCCCCAGGCACCAGAACTTAGAAGCTCTGAGGTGTATCTGGCAGCATAAAGGGAGACTTTTGTAATGAAGCAGCTGCCTGGAGGAGGTACACATCTATTTAGTAGGGTTTTTAGAATATTATGTTTACAGGGCATAACTAAAGGAAGTTTTCAGCTGTGTTATGTGTTTAAATTGACTTTAAATGGAGGCAGTGCAAGTACCTGAATGTTACTTGGCATCAGCCTCTTGCAGTCCCTGTGGAGCAGAAATAAATGAGAAAGGAAAAAACAGTGCAAGGAGTCAATCAGTTCATGTGCTGACAAGGAGCCCGCTGATAGAGAATGCAGAGTGAAATCACGTTTCTGCTTCTTCTTTCACTGTCACAGGCTGGGCCAAATCCACGGTGACCTGGGCTTAGAGAAAACGAGTTGAATGCTGGTGGCCATCAGTAAACCTGGAAAGCTGAGGACATCTTGTACTGGAAAAGAAGGACTGCAGGGTACAGCACTGGTTTGAAGGGAAGACTTTTTTATATTTTAATGGACAAATACATTTTTGCTTTAATTTTTGGCAGGGGTTCGGCTTTAATATATTGTTAGATATCGCCATTAAAAAAAAAAATATATATATTTTTGCTAAAAAGAAAAAAAAGGTTTTTGGTGGTCTTTTTGGTTCACTTGAGATCCCTCACTACAATATGACAAGCTATCTGGTCCTATTGCTCACTAAGCACTACTCCATACAAGCCATGCTTTCCAAATCTTGCAACAGCACACTTAAAACAAAACATGTATAGAAATGATTATTTTTTTTTGGGGGGGGGGGGGGGGCGCCCCCTTCCCTATTCCATTCACAAAATGGATTGTATTCTGTTCATACAATGCAAGGTGTTCTTTAAATTGACAAGTGGAGACAAGGGGCAGGTAAATGAAAGGATCTCCACTTGTTCATTCACAGATCCCCTTGCATTCTGTAAGAAGACTACAAGGCATTTTGTGAATGGACAAAAGGGGAGAGGAAAGGGAGGTTAATTGACAGGATCCCTTCATGGTCAAAGCTGCAGCTATCATCCCCACAGCACTGGAAGTATAGCACTGTCTATACATTCTGGCTGGGACTTAACAGCATCAATCCAGATCTAGCATTACTAAATTCATTTCAGTACAGCGTTGCATGACGGAATAAACGTCAGTCAAAGTACCGCAGCGCTGAATACTGAAAAATGGCCTGGCCAGGAAGGGGGTCTAAACACCTGGTCTTGAAGTGGTTAAAAGGTAACTTGTTGGTATAGAGCACAAGTTAGAAAAACAAATGTTCCTAGAGTTCCACTTAAACAATTCCCGGTACCACAAGGTATCCATTTCATTCTATATTGGATCCTCATGATAGCTCATCTCTAATAGACATTCTATTATCAAATAAGGCAAGGAACACGGATCACCGACTTAAACTTCCACAATATCTCAAAGCGTATAATTGTGGTTTCCTTTTGGTTTAAACTTGAACAACCATGTTTCAGTCTTTTCAAGAAAAGAATGTTGTAGCCGTCCATGCTTAAGCCAAAAGGAAACCACAAATAAGGAAACTGCGGCTGGTGTCCACCTATAATGGAATAAAACAGTAATGAGATTAGATGGACGTACTCAACGCATTCACAATTTTATAACACGCAGATCTAAATATGGAATTTACTCCATTAAATGCTTATGAAAATGTAACTACATTGGTTAAACTACCCGCATGATAAAAGACTAAACACAGGAATGCCTTAGATAACTGAAGGAATTGGAGGACCTCATTTACCTGAACATATTAGATCATTACACAAAGGGGACGTAAAGATATTTGGGGGTCTAGAAGTCAGTCATAGAGAAAATAGATTATCATCCTACTAAGCTTGAGTGATTTAAATGAACAGAAACTTCTAATCAGCAATACAGAAGGTTTCAAGCCATGAGTGATCTGCATTCCTTGTTTTCATGTTGAGACATTACATGTATATGTTAGGCGACATATATGTTAGGCTACCTGTAAGAAGATATAGGACACTCACCCCCTTTGGATCTTTAACAAAGTAGCTTCCACTTGAGCCTTGGGATATTCTTTCTGGGAAAACACCATTTTCAATGGCTTGCTCTGCTCTGTGAATAATGTCAGCAAATTCAATATCATCCGAAAAAACATTCAGCTCTTCGGTACAATGACCTACAACAACCAAAGATAAAAGATTGAACAAGAAAACATGTTACATGCTGACATTACTAATTAATGGGATCTGTAAAACAACTCAACAGGTCATGTTTTCAAATCGTCCTTCAACAGTATAACTGCAGCAGGCTAATTCACAATAACACTTACACGGGCTATGCATAGAGAGAAAAACACACACAACACAGGAGACAAAAACATTTCCCTTTAATCTTCTCCTATGCACATGACTGGGAAGCAAGTCCCAAAAGGCAAACACTACTTTCTGGAGTTCTTCTTCAATGTTGTTGAATGAATGAACACATATACAATAACAAGTTGGATGCTTTGCAAGGTTCTCTAGCTAGTCTTTTCCTGGGTGATGATATTTGAGCAGGTACTGTCCAGCGAAATAATTGGGGACAATTTTCAAATAAAGTAAATCACATATCTTACATGTGACTATACACTCATAAAACAAACAAAACAAAAACCACAAAAAACCCCTCCGGCAACTGTCCAACTGTACTTCATTGGAGACTGGAGCAGTCAAATCAAATTGAGGTATTATATGGTATATAAGCAATTGGTGCAACAGATGGAAAATACATTATCTACATTATTTGTTAGTTGGATTAGAACAAATGTTTTGGGGGTCAGTGTAGTAGGGCCCCAATGCATATGGGGGGTGGGAGGGGGGACGCAGACCTCACATCGGTGGCCAGGGTGGATGCGCCCCTCACATCACATTGCTCACTGGTCCAGGAATCCCTGGCATCCTCTGGAGGAGCCCTGTCTGAGCATGGTGGTATAATAATGACACAGACACAATAAAGACGAAGCGAGCCATATTGACAGGTGAGGAAGGTGTGCCCTGCCTCCATCTCCATACCAGCCTCCCAGCACAACATTTACCAGAATTAGTGAGCAGGCTCTCCCGGTCTGAGGAGCTCAGGCGCACTCTTCCTTTACTGGCAGTTTTTGGGGACTGGACAGCGGACCTCCTGAGCAGCGGCTCCTCTTCCCCCGCCTCTTCCTCCCGTGTACGCTCAGGGAAATACCTCACAGCACTTCCTGGATTAACTCTGCCCGGCTGAGTGCCTAACGGAACCAGCGCTGCGTCCCCTCCTTCTCCCTCTGACGAGAGTTCCAAGAGGACTAACAATGGCGAGTCAGCCCTCTGCTCTTCCTGCTTCTCCTCAGCCATACCAGCTCTGGTAAACGTTACCGCGTATCTCACGAAGCTACTCCATCCGGCATACTGGACTCGTAGGATTCGCCTAATGACGTCGCTAGACCCTGCTCCAATCAACTGCAATGTATTGGCTGAGGGCCCAGACACGAATGTCTACCATTGGTTGAGCCCTAGTTCTGTCTCTGCGCATGCGCGGCCTATACGTCATTGCCGCAACAGGAAGACTTGAGAAGGACAACAAAGTACTGTCCTAAGCTGATTGGTCAGATAGCTACAGAAAGTTACGTGGTTAAGCTCCTCCTTTCCACTAAGCGGCGCTCCATCCGAAGCGCGTTACTCTCGTTTGCTCTGGGAGGGTGACATTGGGAGGTTCTGTCTTCTTCCTGTGCACTGACGGGAGGTCACTCTTCGCTTTTGGACAGCTAGGCCTCTCATCCAGCTCGGCATGGCTCAGGCGGCTCAGAAACTCGTGAAGGCGGTCACAACTAAAACGCCTGAGCTCATAAGTGGTAAGCTCGGGAGCACATAGGAGATGAATGAAATGTGGGCCTGTAGGATGTCATTCACCTCACAGGGATCAGAGACTCGTCCCCTGTGCAGCAGTATTTGTATGGACGTTTTCAGGGTTCATTGAGCAGTTCACTTCATTTCCTCTACAATATCTTATTACATTTTTATGTATTTTATACGTTGGTTTTATTTACATTTCCTCCCTCACACTCAAGGCCCCATTCACACCAAGGTGACAGCGTTTCAGTGCGTTTTATATGCGAGTTTCAGGGCGTTTTTCCAGTCCACGCTGCAAAAAAACGCACTGGAACTCGTGTTAAAAAAAAGTGCAAAAATTTGCTGATCAGCGCGTTTCCATTGAAGTCTATGGAGCAAAACGAGCTGATCAGCGCTACAAAAGAAGCTCGGGGAGTATTTCAAGCTACAGTTGTATTGTGAGGCGTGATTGGGCGCGTTTGGGTGAACGACCACCATAGGAATACATGGGATTTTGTTTTCTGTGCATTTCAGTGCTGAAAAAACCCGAAACACCCTGGTCTGTGAGTACATGGGTCCTTTTTGGGCTGATCAGATATGAGGTTCAGTTCATAAAGCTTTATCACCAGCATAAGGCGCTCTGTTTTCAGCCATTTAACTGTAATTTTACCTACTCTGGGCACCGGGGGAAAAAATGCCCCCCTGCACTGCAAGGGTTAAATGCTTGTGAGGTCTAGGAGTTGAAGAAGGTGTAATGCCGACCTTACTTCTGGCTTCTGCCACAATATGTGACCGGTCTACCAAGGCCTCCTCTCTATGGTGCTACAGCCGGCGGTCACTTCAGGTACAATGCTCTACCAGCAGCCCTGTGAGGGTTTGCCCACGGCCAGGTGTGTGGGAGAATAGAGGTAAGTGCCAGGGGAGTGAGGGATAAGGTATTACAGCCTTTTCCTCTACCCTATAGATCAGGGGTAGGCAACCATGGCACTCCAGCTATGGTCAAACTACAAACCCTATTGTGCCTCCACCTATAGGAGTCATGCCTTTGGCTGTCAAAGGCTTGCAGTGCATGAACACTTTTGCTTGGAGTTCTTATTTAACCCTTCCTTAGAATTCTCAAGGATAGTGCAGACAGTGAGGCGTCTGCTCAGGGTTTTACCAGTCCATTGGCTGAAATTTGCCTCAGTCTCATTTTTAAACTTGTGATGGATAATAAGAGTACAAGCAAAAAAAAAAAGTTCCTCTTTAGGAAATGATGTCCTCCTCCTCCATGGGTTATCAACCTGGAACATGCAAGTAGCCAGATAAGTATGAAGAGTGAACTCCAGGCCACTACCTATTTAAGGCTGGCATGGTTAGAATTTACAAGAATTGGCTGAAAATGGCAACCAGTCATTATTCATATAATCTGACAGCTGGCTGTCAGACTGCAATAGCCAAAGCAGGAAAAACATTCATCCACACTATTCAGGGAGGTTGGAAGTATCTGTTGGATTTAGCTGACAGGCTGAAGAATATGGCCAGTTTAAGCAGCAATTCCAGAATAAAATGTAACAGACCAAGAACCTTCACCCTTAAAGTCTACCTGCAGGTAAAATAAATAAGCAAACCTCCCCTTGCAGTGGGTCTACCCCCACAGTGCAAGGGTTTAATGCTTATTTTTGTCTAGGGGACCTTTTTGTAAAAGGACTTTTACTTACCTCACACCTCCGCTGGCTCAAAGACCAGAACCTGCAAACTCTTCCCAGCTCTGGAGGCCCGCTGACATCATACAGTCCAATGCAGGGCCTGTAGTTCTGCATTACAGGTGAGGACTACAAGAGACAGTTCATGAGTCTGAGTGGGGAGAATGGCCATCGCTGACTGCCAGGGGAGTGAGGATCAGGTAAGAAAGTCCTTTAAAGAACCCCCTATACATAAATGAAAAAATAACCCTTGACATTTTTTAGTTTTATAGTAGCTCTCATTCCAATCCTAACACGTTCCATTCACTATAGCTACAACAATCTATTCCTGTAATGGAGCATATTTTTTTTTTAAAAAGGCAGGATTTGTTACTATGAAATAGGTGACTAGAATACGTGGCCCTTTTAGGATGAATACAGCCTTTATAGCCATTCATATTTTCTAAGTCTTAGCACTGGAACTGTTCTGCTGCTTAGGAGGAGGAGGAAATACAGCAGACACTAACTAGAAGCAAATCCTTACATTATATGTGCATCTTACGTCTTTATTTGTGTATATTGCCAATTGCTGCAATGGATTTCGTATACGCACGTGTTACAAACTGTCTACCCATGAGGCCTCTGAATGGCTGTTGTTCACCATCGTAACACTGTTCCTTATTTTTATTGAAGAACCAATCTTCAAACGTAACAAACTTCAGAAGAAAATGAAGATCAGTGCTGCCTGCACAGAGATTTCCTGACAAGTGTTTAAATATCTGAGTGATATTTTTCTCTTATAGGCCTTGTTCACACCAAGCGCGGTGCAGAGCAGTTGCAGACCGGATCAAAACTGAGTCCAATGTATTCAAATGGGTATTTTTTGCTCCAGTTCACATCGCAGCGTTCAGGCCCTATTTTACCTGCTCTGGATCTGCTCACGCATCCAAAACGCATGCAAATGCCTGGAATGCACTGAAAGCCCATGTTAAACTTAAACTTTTTTTTTTTTACCAAAAACGGCCCGGAACGCAGTAAAAACGCGGCACAACCCACTGCACTGCTTGTGCAGAAACCTGAGCGGATCTGCTCTGCATTTGGTGGGAACAAGGCCTAAGTGCCTGTTCACACGACGTCCGTTTTGTGTGCTGACCTGATCCGTACGCTCCTGCACTCAAAATGCATCCCAATTGTTCCCTATGTGTTTTATGGGCTACAGTTCTCACGTGCGCAGTCCGTTACGACAGAAAAATACTCCATGTCACATTTTGTACGGTCTGGAAACGCAAAACGCGTCAAAAACGGACTGCACTGCAGCTAACATACTGACAGCCCCACTCCAGAAAAGTTTTTTTACTGGAACGCATCAAAAACGCGGCCAAAACGCACTGCATCAGTAGCACTGCGTCTGCTGATCAGGACCTGAAACTCATGTGAACAGGCCCTAAAAGTGGAAGTTATAAGTTGTAAATAAAAAAAATATAATTATAAACAAATTGCTGTTCAGCTTTCTTTGACAGAAGAGTCTGTGTAGGTTTCTTCTGCCATAGTAGTAGCTAGCTGCCTGTCGACTATCTTTTTGTTTTCTGTACACTGAGCCACACATGCAGTTTAATGCACAGGCTCTGCATGCCAAGATGATGCAACTCCCATGCTCATGCGCTAGAAGAATAACACTTCTGTCCATCTTATTGCTGTCTTTGCTATTCTGTCCCGGTGATACTGAACCAGTCAACAATGGACAATGGTAGTTATCTGGATCTCCAATTTATTACAATAGTGTTGCTTTGCCTCTTATGGATCTCTTGGTTTTTGATAACTTGTATTTGTCCTCTGAGAACAGACGTGTCGGGTTGTTAGGCCATCCTATCCAATGCCGGAGCTCAGTGCTGATAATACACATTCTAAAACTGTCTTAACAAATGAGCTACTGGGAAGAAAGTTAGTTGCTGGAACAGGTTATGATATAGTCCAATATAGGTAACTCGGGCATCTTTATGTGCAAGGGTTGGAACCTCTGTCAGGTTTTAATCTGTGTCTATATTTAGATTCTCCTTTACTTCCTGCTTTCGTTTACGTGTCACCTGGACAGAAAGAGAGGGAAAATTGAGAGGTTGTTTCCCTTGTGAACTTTGCTAGAAAAATCATTTTGATTGCTTCCTGTATCCCAGTTGGGGAGATTCTCCCTCACTTCCTTTCTGACCCCTTTTAAATAGAAAGAAAATGAGGTGAAATCTCCTAAATGGGGAAACAGACTGCAACCAGTTTACAAGGTTCTTTATGTGTTTCTGCATTTTCAGACATGTTTTTGTATTGTTGAATAATGGATTTTTTTGTTTTGTTTTCTAGCTGCTGTCAGCTACTCACGGCCACGACTTGCAACTTTCTGGCACTATGCACGCGTGGAGCTGACTCCTCCAAGTCCTGCAGAGGTTCCAAAAGCCATTGAGGGCATAAAAGGATTGGTAAAGTCATTCCAGAGGGGTCGCGTATCTGAACTTACTGTCAGGGTAAGAGAAATGGTCCAGATACAGGACTGAGAAATCTAATTGATCCACAAGATGTGCAGTGTAAAGTACATGGGGATAGTACATGGGTTGTTTGTTTTTAAGTCCAACTGTGAATAGATTAAAAGTACTAAACTGACTATAAGGATGAAAAGCTGGCACCAAGTGGTGCCTGACTAAACTTTTGTGTAAGTTTAGTACACTGTTGGCTACTAAATGTAATGAGTGACGGATGGGACAGGCCTAAGTATCAACTTCTTATTAGTCAGTGTTTGCCTAATAAAGTACCTTGAGTTGAGCTATACAACTGCTACAGGTATGTGCAGGCACTATGTAAATTTACAATGTTATAGTTCAGTAGAAATAACTTCATATCTTTACTACAGTTTTGACATAAGTCTCAATAACATTTTTTTTTTCCTTTGCTGTCCCCACAGGACGCTCTTAGAAATGGTCTGGTTGCAACTGAGGTTCTATTTTGGTTCTACATCGGAGAATGCATTGGAAAAGGTGGCCTGATTGGATACAATGTCTGAGGCTTTCTTCCACTGTACAGTTTAAAATCCTTTCATTCTGACTTTTGTGAAATCATAGACTCCGTAAATTAAATGGAATTAAACGTATCACATCTGCCTAGTTTTCTTTATTTGCATTGTATTCTTTAAACATTGACAGTTTTTTGTTTTTTATCGCGTCAGAGCAAAGTAAAAATCGACTTTTTATACAAGATGGTTGTGGCAGGGAGATGAACACAGGAGCCGATAATTGGGCCAGGGTAACGAGAGGTTAAATAGAAATCCAGATAGATATAGATACATAGGTGACGATTTGAAGTCAAAAGCAAAGTCTGGCCAAGGCTCAGAATGCTTAACTGAAAACAGGATCCAGGACTGCAGCAGATTTACATTGCTTTGGTGCATGAACCACTTGAGTAGCAGCTTGTGTATACTCCTTCCGTTACCAGTCTGTTTTTTGAGTCCTGTGATTGTTTTTATTCTTTTTTTGAGACAACTGGCTTTTTTTTTTTTTTTAGATCTCCTTTAATATAGTAAAACTATGGGGTCAGGGCTTTTCCCCATAGTTCTCCTAAGGGTAACGGGAGGACACAAGCGTCCTCTCGTCACCCTAAGCTCAGTATACTGAGACGCCGGGACGGATCCCGACACTGTCTGGATCCACCCAGCTGCATGAGTGACAGCTGGCTCTGCCTATCTAGAGGCAGAGCCAGCTGTACCCGCCCCTCCCCCGTCCGTTCCGCCAGTCAGCGCTGGAGGATCGGAAAGGGGAGGGGGGAATCCCTGCAGCGTGCCGTGAGTGACGGTCACTGCTCTCTGCAGGGACAGGATCGAGAAGTGAGCGATGGTATGTGTTCGCTCACTTCCCGATCTATTGAGCCGACCTGTGACAGTTTCATTGTCACAGGTCGGCTAGAACTAGGAGGCTGAGTTATTTTCACTCTCCTCATAGTTCTTTTTTAAAGTGATTAATAAAGAATAGACCCTCCTTTTTGCTGCAGGCTGCTGCCTTTTTTTTTTTTCTTTAAAAGTTTTTCATTCCTCGTTTTCTAGTGGGTCCCCGCAGCGTTCTTCCCCCCGCCCCCTGCACAGGTGCCACCATCGACACACAGCCCTGTGGCAGGCCACGTCCCTTCCCTCTTTGATGGCAGAAGGAGCCTATGGCTCCTCTGCCATCAGTATCCGAAACCCAGAAGTTCGGGGAGCGGAGGATCGCTTCGGGACCGGTGGCGGGGACGAGGGCAGCTGACAGGTAAGTGTGGGGGGGGACTGAGGTAGAAAAAAAGGCGCTGGCCCGTTTTTAGCCTAATGCAGAGAATGCATTAAGGTAGAAAAGGCCCAGACCTTAATACTACTTTAAGGAGAAAGACCAAACATTACTTTGTTAAAATAGAAATGCCCGCACAGTACAAACACAGCCCAATATTACCCCTTTTTGGGAAGTAGACACTCCAAGATAATCTCATTTTTTGCCACAAATTGATTATTATTGGGGAAATAAGGAAACACGCTGGTATTGAAGTGTTTAATCAATCACTCCTCCCCAGACCAATATTTCACTTATGGGAAGAGATGCCAGGCAAACTTCCCAACCTAGGATAAAATGTAAACTTAATTACCTGGAGCCACCTTAAGGTCCCATTCACACTGCGCGATTCGCATTTTGTGCGATATCGCGCAAATGCTTGCATAAAGCAAGCTGGAATCGCAGCAAAATCCGCTCCAAAAAGGGTCCTGCTGTAGCGACACACGACCCGCGACAGCAGGACCCTTTGCCCCATTGAGCGATATCGCGCGGTAAATAGCCGCGATATAGCGGGAATTACCGCGTGATAAATCGCCCAATGTGAACGGGGCCTTAAACAGTGGCCGCAGATGGACGTTGCTGGAAACTTGGCACAAATTTAATTACCCGAGTCTATGGGAAAAGAGGTGATTGAGCTGACACACTTTCATGTAAAGATGAAATATCAATGTTGGGTGAAGAAGTCTTTTAAATCATAGAGCTTGGTAATGGTACAATGCCTCATTTAATGTACAGGTCATACACAGAGGGAGAAGGAGAATGGGGTTAATGTACAGGTCACATGTACTGGAAGGATGAGCTAAGTTTAATTCCAGGATCTCACTGTGTTATATCTAGTGCACAAAGTGTCAATTGAGGGTCATAGGAATTTACAGTTATGCTGCTGCATACAGGAGGTTTGGACACTGACAAACAGAAACATTTTAATCCAGTAATTGTATAACCTCTATACCTGGGGTAGCAAACCTCCGGCCCTCCAGCTGTGGTGGAACTACAAATCCCATGAGGCATTGCAAGATTCCCACAGACATGACTCCCAAATAGAGATGCATCATGGGATTTGTAGTTTCACCACAGCTGGAGGGCCGGAGGTTTGCTACCCCTGCTCTATACCCATCATGCCTCCATTATTTTGCTAGTGTCCTAGTAGGTTGTACACCTTTTCTAAAGTTCTGCTGAAAAATGTTTTTGTTGCTAGCCTATCAAGATTCTCTTTGCTTGAGCTAGCCTTTGCATTAGGGATGCACCGATACTAGTATCTGTACCGATACCGAGTATTTGGGAGAGGACTCGTACTCGCTGAAAACGCTCTGACACCTTTCCTGATACCGGAACTTCTGGTCAGAGGAAGATTTTCTCTGACTGGCAGTGCCGTAGGGTAACATGGAGACAGCTTCCCGTGTGATCAGGAAGTTGGGCGGCGAGTAAAGACCCGCCTCCCGGCTTACCAGGAAGCCGACGTGATACTGATTGGCCGAGAAGGCGGCTTGATGCTGGGAGTTGAAGCTAGGAAGCTGGGAATACAATTGCCCAGGAAGCCAACTCCATGCCAGCAGAAGTATCGATACTCTGTATTGGCAAGTACCGAAAGCAAAATATCGGTAGTCGTACTCTATACTAGAAAAAAATGGTATCGGAGCATCCCTACTTTGCATAGTAGCTATCCAGATTGGCATTTTCTCGGCATTAGCTATGCAGGCCGTACCTGGACCCCACTGGTTTGGACATGTTGGGCTAGCCTGGAATATACGTTTGGGCTTTGCATTATGGCGATTTCCAGAACTTGGTGTCCTGTGTTAGCCCTGGAATGCTTTCCAGGTCCAGAGCTGTGGCACAATCCCATGTGCGACCCTGTCTCTGAAGACTTGCATAGTGAGTAAGGCCAGTCGGGCTAAAGCATTGGGAGTTATCTCCTGATTTGCACCACTGGGCGCCTTTTCAAATTTCCCCGTTTCTGCTGTTGTTTTACCTTCGTAAGGGTTAAGGCTCAGGGACTGAGCACTGACATCATCTGCTAGGTGAAGTGCTACACACACTTTCTCCGCTCTCTTTTCTGACATTCCACCTAGAGGAAGCACCAGCCTGCTGTTGCATTTCATGCTAAAGCACCATATGGATGTCTGGTCTCTTTGCACCTACCTACAAAGACATGGTCTCTCTGGGTGCCTGAAATCCTCATTAGCACCAGCTGCCCAGGTTTGTGAGTACAGAAGACCTTGCCTCACACTGGGCTTGGTTGCATTCCCCTAGTAGTTTAGGGGGCGTTAACACGGCCTATTCCCTCAAAAGGGATCGTTGTGATGACTTGTTACAAGTATCTAAGCTTGTGTCTTGCATGGGACTGATATCCATATAGATGTCCAGAGCACTCTGGCTGCGTAGTCGTGACCCAAATACTGTATCCAATGAACATCTAACTTGATTAGCCTTCGATGGATAGTGTCTCTTTGACCTTGCCGTTGACACTGAGATTAGCTATACAACAAATGGTCAGTGTTCTCTGCCTCAGCACAGGAGGCCTGCAGTTTGTATATCCAAATGGGTCATCGGGTAGTTTGTCTCTCTGACATTTGGGTGCTCAAATCACCCCTTTTACCCCACAGCCTGTATGTTGGCTATTGCATTTGTAGTTGCGACATGTCTGAGTTCAGACCTAGAGTAGGCAGCCTGAATGCACTAGGTGTCCCCGGCACACTGTTCACAAATTAGTTTTGGTCTGCTTGCAGCGTGCCCCTTTACAGTACTGGTGTCAGGTAACCCGTTAGTGTTTGAGTCTATCCCCTCCATTCATGCAGATTCCTTTCTGCCTACATTGGCTGTTGCTGGGCCTTCTGTCCTCTCAAAGGAGGTTTTTCTACTACAGTCATGTAAGGCTTTATGTTGGCCAGCTAATCTCTTGGCTTCGGCACTGAGACCCCTTAAGCTTTGTTTTCCTTCCACCCACAAGACCTGGCATATTCAAGTCAGCCAAATCCACCAACCATCCCTCCTTGGCATCAAGGTGACCCCACATTCCAGAGAGGGGAGACTTCTGATGGCCTTCATTGATGCTTTAAAGTCTTGCATACCTGATGCTTGGGTGCAGGAGGTGGTGTCCTAAGGATACAAGACTGAGTTTCAAGTCCCCCAACACACATCATTAATTCAGCAGTGCTTACAGTGGCTTGAAAAAGTTATCAATCTTTAAGTCATGCCACAGATTGTCAATTGGATTGAGGTCTGGGCTTTATCTAGGCCATTCCAAGACATTTACATTTTTCCACTTAAACCACTCAAGTGCTGCTTTAGCACAATGTTTAGGGTCATTGTCCTGCTGGGAGGTGAACCTCCGTCCCATTCTCAAATCTCTGGGAGACTGAAACCGTTTTCCAACAAGAATTTCCCTGTATTTAGCGCCATCCATCATTCCTTCAATTCTGACCGGTTTGTCAGTAATGCAAGAAGTGTTTAATATTTGAGACTTATTCACCCAAAGAAAGGAGACAAACTCATTCCTAACTGATTTTAGAAAGGCAGGAAGCTTCTGAAATAGATATAAAAGATGAGGAAGAATATTCATTTTTAAAACACTATTTCTACCAAACCAAGAGAAATTTCCTCCTGTGCCACTTCTTCAGATCTTGTCTAATTTGAGTCAGGAAGGGAGGGAAGTTTGCCACAAACACCTTGTCGACAGTAACCAAGTACTAGTTTTCCATGGGTGGCACACAGTCTATAAAAAATATGCCTCAGGTTTTAGCTCTTTGTATAAAGTGTATGTAAACCATAAATCTATTTCTCAGTTTGGTTATTTTTGTAT